TCATCATTGAAAATTGCCTGAAATCTAGCTAAACAGAAGTCCTACAACTAAGGAAATAGAAATGAAGCCACCTCAAGGCTGCTAGGAGGGGTAGATATACAGAAATGGCTGGTCCGACACCCACATGTGGTGGTTGAAAATTAGAAGTGATATCCTGGGTAGGAGTTCCCCCAGGAGGAACAAGCAGTCCAAGGCCTATGCTGGGCTCCCCAGTCCAGGATTCCAGTGCCCAGAAGAGAAGTCCCCACAAAATCTGGATACGAAAATCGGTGGAGATAGTGGCTGAATGGGTTGGAGGGTTGTGGGGAACCCGTGCATGTACTTACTCCCTGAAGGACTCAGTCATTCTGGGCTCGGGCACTAGGACAGCAGATCAAAGGATGCCAGGGACACATGGGGAGGAATTAAATTGTCTCGCAGCAGGACAAGGGCTGCAGGGGCAGCTTTTTCCCAGAAAGAAGTGCTGGCAGAAGCTATTGCTCTTTGTTAGGCCCTCCCCTCATCTAGCATGCAGACACAGGCAGCAGCCATATCTGAGTCTCCATCAACCTGGCTAACACTGCCCTGCCCTGGTGATTCCCTGAGAACCTGCCCAACCCAACTTGCAGGACCACTCAAGCAATTCAAGGTGGCTTTTCCATACAAACAGCCTGTCTTGAGTCATGAGACGGAAAAGGTTCACAAAATTTAACAAGCAGCATCTGACTTCTCTGTACACCATACTTCATGCTGAGCAGCTCTAAACCTGACATTGGCAGCAGCCAGCCTCAATTTTTTGCTTGGCCTCTCAAGGCACCTCTAAGCCAAGCATGAGTAGCAGCTACTTGAGAATTGCTTGGTGGGTCATGCCAGGTGGCCCTGGGCAGGCAAAGGCTGCAGCTGAAGTTGGCCTGCAGTAGGACCACTCCCAGGAGACCCCAGGGCTGGCATACCTGATGACTGAGCCAAAGCACAACTCAAGATGACATCTGAGGACGTCATACCCAAAGGGTGGACTAGGCATGCACCAGAGTCCTACGAATGTGAATCCTGCTCCATAGGGTCAGCCCCTGAACAACAGCTATTCCACTGTATTCACGGGGTAGCCCTCACTACTAATCAGCTCAAGAGTAAAATACTTCCATTAATGTGCAAATAGCAACCGAGGCTCAAATACAAGAGAAAGGCACACACAATCCATACAAGGGACACACCTGGAGCAACCAGCTTAGGTCACCAGGGAGACTTGTGCCTATGTCCCACAGGAAACCTACTACAGAAGGCAACTTTACTAAGACTGGGTGACATAGCAGTCCTACCTAATATATAGAAACAAACAAAGGGAGGCAGCCAAAATGGGGAGACTAGGAAAGATGTCACAAATGAAAGAACAGAACAAAGCTCCAGAAAAAGAATTAAAGAAAATGCAAACAAGCAATCTACCAGATGCACAGTTCAAACACTGGTTATAAAGATGCTCAATGAGCTCAGGAGAAGAGCAGATAAACTCAGTGAGAACTTTAACAAAGAGATAGACAACATAAAAGAGAACCAGTCAGAAATGAAAAATACAACAACTGATATAAAGAATACCTTAGGAGGTATCAATAGTAGATTAGATGAAGCAGAGGATCAAATGAGTAATTTGGATACACCTAAAAACACCCAATGAGAACAGCAAAAAAAAAAAAATCCAAAAAAATGAGGCTAGTCTTGGTTGTGGGTTCTTGTGTTTCATCAATTTGAACATTTTGTGCCAATCCCTTCTGGCCTGCAAAGTTTCTGTTTAGGAATCAACTAACAGTCATATGGAAACTCCCTTTTTCTTGCTGCTTTTAGGACGCTCTCTTTGTCTTTAAACTTTGCCATTTTAATTATAATGTCTTGATGTGGGCCTGTTTGTTTTCCTCTTGTTTGAGACTCTATACTTCCTGGGATTACATGTCTATTTCCCTTGCCAGGTTATGGAAGTTTTCTTTCATTATTTCTTGAAATAGGTTTTCAATTCTTTGTTCTCCTTCCTCTCTTTCTGCTACCCCTATGATGCGAATGTTGATACACTTGATGTTGTCCTGGAGGCCCCCTCTTTTCTTCTTTTTTGATTCTTTTTTCTTGTTGCTGTTCTGATTGAGTGTTTTCTGTTGCCTTATGTTCTAAATTGCTGATTCGACCCTCTGCTTCATCTAATCTATTGTTGATTCCTCCTAAAACATTCTTCATTTCAGTTACTGTATTCTTCAATTCCGCCTCATTTTTTTGTTTTTTCTCCATTGTTATGTTTTGTATCTCTTTGTTAAAGTTCTCACTGAGTTCATCTACTCTTCCCTTAAGTTCACTGAGCATTCTTGTAACAGGTGTTTTGAACTATGTGTCGAGTATATTCCTTGCCTTCATCTTGTTGTGTTCCTTTTCTGGAGCTTTGTTCTGTTCTTTCATTTGGGGCATGTTTCTTTATCTTCCCATTTTGGCTGCCTCCTTGTGTTTGTTTCTATGTCCCCAGTTGTATGACTTCTGTTCAGCCAGAGCTCAAGTGACTCCCAATGATGACTATTCTGTAATTTAGTTGTAATTTTGATGTGACTGTGAGAGGAGACAAGCACAGCATTTACCTACTCCACCATATTGACTGGAACTCTGATCTACAGATTTTAATTATACATGTTATCTTATTCTCTTAACACAAACTACCATCACTGTTTCTTCAAATAGGTTCTCGATCCCTTACTCTCTGTCTTCTCCTTCTGATACCCATATAATACAAATGTTGTTACACTTGATGTTGTCCCAGAGGTCTCTTAATCTTTCCCCATCTTTAAAAATTCTTTTCTCTTATTGCTGTTCCGATTGGTGTTTTCTGTTACCTTGTCTTCCAAATCGCTGATTTGGTCCTCTGCTTCATCTAATCTACTGTATTCTTCATTTCAATTTTTGTACTCTTTATTTCTGACTGGTTCTTTTTGATGCTTTCTATGACCTTTTTATGCTTACTATCTCTTTGATAAATTTCTTCTTGAGATCGTCTATTCTTCTCCTAAGATCAGTGAGCATCCTTATAACCAGTGTTTTAAACTCTGTATCTAGTAGCTTGCTTGCCTTCATTTCATTTAGTTATTTTTCTGGAGTTTTCTCCTTTTCTTTCATTTGAGACACGTTTGTTTTCTCATTTTGGTTGCCTCTCTGTGTTCATTTCTGTGTGTTAGGTAGGTTTGCTACATCTCTCAGTCTTGCCTGGGTGGCCTTATGTAGTAGGTGCCCTGTGTGTCCCAGTGGCGCAGTCTCCCTGGTCACCTGTGCCGAGTGCTTCAGGAGTGTCCTTATGTGAGTTGTGCGTGCTCTCCTGTTGTAGTTAAACCTTGATTACTATTGGCACGTCAGTAGGTAGGTACTGGCTCTCAGGTTGACTGACCAAGAGGATTGGCCACATCCACTGGGTATGAGCTTCTGTATGGGGGCTGACCTCACAGAATGGGATTTTCCCCAGTGGGCTAGTATGCCTACTGAGACTATCTTTTGCGTGTTCCACTTGTGGGGCTAATCAGATTGTGCTCTGTTGTGGTCTGACACCAGCCTCTCCAAGTGTGTTAGTTCTGGGGTGCCTTGGGAGGGGCTCCCGTGGCAGGCCAAATTCAGTCGCTGCCTGCGATCACCCGGAACTACCTGGTAGGATCTACAAAGTGATCTTTGGTTGGTTGCTGCCTCTGTTGGATGTGGAGGCACATGGGAGAGGCTCCCAAGCAATCTGAAACTGGTTGCCACCAGTACTGGGCCTGGGGCAGCTTAGCAAAAGGTCCAGGGCACCCAAAGGATCAAGGCTGCCTGCCAGCTTCCCATAAGGCTCAGCAGCTGAAGGGGCATTGTGTGGTATGCGAGTTGGGTGATGCAAGGTCCCAGGAAGTCACCAGGGTGGGGTGAGTAGTGTTTCCCAGGTTAGTGCAGATTCATATTTGGTGCTAGTGCTGAGTCTGTGGCCATTTGCAAAACTCTCAGATCACACAGAGCCTTGGGCCTACAGACCCCTGCGGGCCTGCAGACCCCCGATATTTGTTTAAAAGATACTGCAGCTTGGGCCAGGGTTGTTTGCCCACCACCTGAATTGTCTCCAGTGGTGCTAGAGCTGAGGCCTGGTGATTGCTGCTTATAGAGCCCTGGCTGAATTGATTGGGTAGGGCTGGTTACCCAGCCTTGAATATGCCTCTGGCAATTCTCCAGTTGGGTGGGGTGGGGTCCCAGGGAATCACCCAGGTGGAGCAAGCACAGTTCACCAAGCCAGTGCAGATTCAGATTTGGCCCTGTGTGGAAGGGCTCAATACAAGCAAGATTGTGCTTGCCTATAGGCTACACAGAAGGAGGGCTCAACAAAGTGATAATGATCCTGTATCTGTAGTTCTTGCCCTGTAGCCATGTAATTGTTTTCTTTTCCCTGTATGTGTCTGGTGCCTCTTGATCTGCTGTTCCTCCAGTGGAGCCCAGGGTGTGTGTCTTCGAGTGAGTCTGTGTGTGGGCCCTTTCAGAAGATGTCTTTGTTTCCAGTAGCCTTCCATCTAACCCAGATGGTCAGAATCACCACTGATTTTTACAGCCAAATTTGTAGGGACTCCTCTTCCCGGTGCTGGAATCCTGGGCTGGGTAGCCCTGGTGTGGACCTGGGGCCCCTCACTCCTCCAGGATTCCTCTGCAGCCGAGATATTTCTCTCAATGCTCAACTACCACACGCAGATGCAAGGCCAGCCTGATTTGCATCTCTATTCCTCCTGCCAGTCTTGTGGTGGCCTTTTCTGTATCTCTTTAGTTATAGGACTTCTATTCAGCTAGTCTTCCGATGGTTTTCCAGGTTGATTGTTCTATTATTAAGTTGTAATTTTAATGTGGTCATGGTAGAAGGAAAGCATGACATTTACCTACTCTGCCATCTTGCCCAGAAACCCAAAATTTTAAATGTGTTTATTTTTTGACCCAGATATTCCACTTCTAAGAAATTTCTAAATTACCAAGAGATGTACAAAATATGTTGACACAGGGTATTTGTCACAGAGTCCCTTTTAATAACAAAAATATGAAAAAAAAAACTGAAATGTCACAATAGGAGGTTGGTAAGTAATTATTATACATGCACAGGATGGAATATTATGCAGCCATTTAAAATGATGTAGATGAGTGAATGACAACAGAAAAACATTCACAATATATTGCAAAATGAAAATGGACGCTAAAAAGCAATATGCATAAAAGGATATTTTCTTGCAAAATAATATATATATACATAAAAAAGACTAGTAACACTTAGAATCAGAAAAACATTTTTAAATAAGTAATACATGCTTATTGTAAAAAGTTTGAGAAAAAACAGTATATAAAAAAATAAAAATCACTGACATCTCTCAACTCAAGGATATTCATGCATTTGATGTATTTCTTTTTATCTTCTCTTAACGTATAAACATTCGTGATATTTTAAAATTTTAGATCATACAATGTTGTACCCATATTTTCCATTTAAGATTATACAGTAAACATTTTTTCCATGGTTAATTTTTTTCTAAAAACATTATTATTGGCAATATAACATTCTATCATATGCATGTATTATTATTTATTTAACTATTCTGTACTGTTGAGCATTTAAGCTGCCTGGTTTTTTTTTACTATTTAAATTATACTTCATGAAAAAAAAACTTAAAATATTACAGATAAAGCTAAATTCCCTTTGATCATCACTCCAATCCCAATCCCCTCCTCCCTTCCTCAATAATATATGTGTGAAAATTAATTTCTAAAACATAAAGAAACAAGAAAAGCATGTTGAAGTCTGAGCAGTAATATATGAATTTGCCAGAATTAAAATAGCTAGGCCTATATTAAAAAGAAAAGAAAAAGAACAGAAAAAGTGACGCACTGAAAATCCTTCTATGGTAATTTGTATAAATCTCTTTATTTCCTTTAGCTAAAATCCGAGAGAAGCAGAATTACAGGGTCAAAGGATATGAACCCATCAAGCCCATACTACTATTGTCAAACTGCTTCCCAGACAGCTGTATAAATTTGCACATCCACCCATCTGTAACATATGAGAGTCCCTGTCCTGTTGCATCCTCAATGTGCACGAAAATTCTAAAAACAGAATATTCTTTCGACGTACTTTGATTTTTAAAATATCTGCTTTATGGAACTTTTTTCCTTTTTTTTTTGCGAAGTAGAGTGGATGCTGCGAAATCAAACAAAAGCATTGTGTCACAAGTCTTAAAAGGATGGGGATGGCTATTCATTAGAGAATGATATGGGTACCAACATGCCACTTTAATAATCCTTTGCATGTGCTTTATATGAGGGCATCTGGGGTATAGAGTTCATGGTCCATCCTCCCCATGAAGTGCTATGATGCAAGGGAATCACCCATCTTCTTATCTCTGTCCCCCAGTACAGTAAGTCCTCACTTAGCGTCATCAATAGGTTCTATGACTTTAAGTGAAAGGACATAGAATGAAAGCAATTTTACCATTGGCTAATTAATATAAACAAGAGTTAAGTTCCTACAGCATCACACCCATGGTATAACGAAACTATGTTGAAGAAAATGATATAATTCAAGGACCTGCTGTACAGAGCTGAATGCTGTGTGTGAGTTGATAAAAACTTGCTAGCATAAAAATAGACATATGTATGAACTCAAAAACACACTCTTCTATCAAGAGAAACATGCTAAATACAGAGGTCACAACATGACAGCTCAAGCCTGCACCCCAGGCTTGGTGATCTGGCAAAACAGAGCTAACTTTGCTAACAATCTGCTGTGAGATGCAAGAGACAAGTCAAGGTACTCCAGCTGTATCAACATGCCTTACTTCTGCTTTCTTCCCACCAATTCCATCTTTACCGCATACCTAAGTAGTTCAAGCTCAAATGTACACAAATCTATGTCACTAAGAAGCTAGAGGGAAACACAGCTAAAATTTAAAAAAAATACAAAAACTTGGAAGTTTTCAAAGCACCCTAAAGGAGTATCACATCTATAGGTTGTACACCTTAAACTTACGCAATGTTATATGTTAATTATATTTCAACAAAGCTGGAGGGGAAAAAAATCAAGTGGAAATGGGAGAAAATATTTCATTGACAACAGTATGCATATAAACATTAGGAATAAACACAATATTGGAAGTACAGAAACTAGATAAAGAAAACTATAAATATTTTATTGATGAGCATAAAATTCAATCTGAAAATATAGAAAGACATACTATTTTCTTGGATAGGCAGATGATTTTATAAAAATGTAAATTCTCTCAAAATTAACAAGTAAATGTAATGTAATACCTATTAGAACCCCAATAAATTTGTTTTTAATTAAATAAAATATTAAAATAAAGAAAAAACATACCCTAAAATAATTAAAGGCTAACCACAAACTGATGTTCCCTTGGCAGAGCTCTTAGTCATATAAGTCATCGATCCCTTTCTTTTACTCTATCTGGCTTGGATGCTACTCAAGCCACTTAGGTACCAGACTCAAGGATAATTTAGGCAGGCACTGCTGTTGGATCTGATGAGCTCCCAGTCGCTGCTAGTATTGGCATCATAACCTTCTTTCCCAGTTGGAGCTCCCAGAATATCCACTCCTCTAGCCCTAGGGTGTTCTGTTTCAGTTCTCAAAGCCACTATGGCTTCAGGGTAGTACTCTATCTCTGTCCCAAAGAGTCCTACTCTGAGCTGCAGACTGCTCTGTAATGAGTCTGTAACTGCTTTCTTACCATTCCTGGAATTTTTAATGGCTCCTGGCACTATAGCTGTCCCCTCTCTCACTTTGTGTGTTTCCCTAAAGTAGGAATTCTTGGTCAGAAGCCCATGAATGTGCTTCAAAAGATCTATGAACCCCTGAAACTACATCCAAAATTGTATGTATGTGCAGGTATATAAGAATATTTTTATGAAGATGTTTATAGCTTTCTTCAAAATATCAAATGAGTTGATAACTCCCAAAGAGCAAAAAAAAAAAAAAAAAAAACTTCTTGGCGAGGATTGTGATTCTTCCCTGAAAATGTCCCTAAAATATCAATGATTGAAAACTCCCAAAGAGCAAAAAAAAAAAAAAAAAAACTTCTTGGCGAGGAAGTATATGACTTTCAAATCTTGCTACACCTGCCTTACCAAATTCCCAGGATGGTCATGATCTCAGATTCAGGATCTCAGAGGGAAAAGCCTAAAAGCAATTGTTAATCTGTAAGTACTATTATGATTCCATTTCTTTACTGACTAAAGACACCCACTGCTCAGCATCTTGCCAACTGGTTAGAAAGCTCACCTATCTCCATTTCTATGAAAGCTGCTTCATCTGGTAGGGCCCGAGGGATCACTCCAGGGTCACTGAAGCTGGTCCTCAACAACGTAGCCATGGAGAAAAGGAAGAGCATGGCAGCAAACACAGGAATGGCAGGAGACAGCTGGACAGCCAGGTAGCGGCATCTGAAGAATGCAGGCAATTTAACATTTAGTTACACTTACCCTACATTGACCTCGAATCATTATCAGCATGTCAATCTGATCTCCATGACAAAATCAGAAGTACCTTGGTGGCAAGGACCATGCTTTTTTCTTCTCTTGAATCACCCAAAACTCCTAACATATGGTTCTGTACATAGTAGGAGCGCAACAAATACTTAATTGATTGATGCAACCTATAACATACAGAAAGCTCAGTCTCTCTTGTAAGTCTGCTGAAACTACATTTCCTCTGTGCCTCAGGAAAGGCTCACACCTGTTAAGGTCAGGGAAGCAACTAAGTCTGGATTTGCAAGCACCACAGGATGTTCGCATTCTGGGAATGTCTATAGCTTTTCATACACACTCATCTGGCATTAGGCCTGAGCTCCAGGAGGAGGAAAATAAGATGAGGACCAGTCATGAAACAGGGCCTCAGTGTCAGACAGAGAATATGTCCAGCATGCTTCAAGTTCAATAAAAAGCTTCAGGACTACCGACTGACTCTGCAACACCCATTCCTCTTCTCTCCTCAATTAGCTTAGCTGCTAGGTAACTAGTGACCACACAGAAATAAGAAAATTGTATCTTCTGAACACCGCTTTCCAACACCATGTTTGCTCCCCTCTTTCCTCATAATTCACCTGGAAGGCCATCCCTCTTCTTCTCTGGATATCTGGGATTTAGAGAGGTCTTGCCTCCTCCGAAAGGCCTATCCTAAGCTATACTAATTTCTCCCTTCCCTGCTCCTGTCATCTTCACTGCCAGAGCCTTGTATTGTTTCCTAGCTGTTTTTCCTTATGTGACTTCATCTCCCCCAAATGGACTTCATAAGAGCAAGAACCTGGTCTTGTTGGAGCAGGAATTCTTGGGTTTGAATTCTGGCTCTACCAGCTCCTAGTTGGGTGACTTAGTCAACTTCACTCTCCTTATCTGTGATGTAAGGATAATTATAGTACTTCACGGGGTTGTTGTCTGGATCGAATGCATGAATGTAAATTAAACATTTAAAACTGCACTTGACACACAGTAAACGCTAAGTAAATGTCGGTTATTAACATTATCATCATGATTCTATATCTCCCAGAGCCTATAAAGTATGAGAATAAAGAAGTTATCAACAAATACTTGTTGAGTCAAACAGAATTTCAAACCAAATAAATGGGAATATGTGATGAGAGTTGTCACTGACCTATTTTTATTCTCCTCCTCCTGAGGCACATTTTCTTCATCAACACAGAAATCTTCTCTTGGAGGCAGACTATAAGTGGATGAGCAAGAGCCAGAGGGAGAGCGGAGAAAGTAAGCTAAGGAAAAAAGCTTACCTCAATGGCATGGGGATCAAGCCAGTTGCATCCACTCAGAGCAAACATTTAACCCCAAGTTGTACATTCTGTACATTTGTTGCAGTTTTGGAACAATCTCCATGAGATCTTCCCCTGCATCCCCTCCAAACATGCAACTCCATGGAGGGTGCAAACATACTGTAATATTAGGCTGAGCCCTTTGTCATGAAGGTGAACATATGTAGTGAACTTGCGAAATGATTTTTGTGACTTTTTGCTTGTTTGTTTATGTATTTTTAACAAAATCCTTGGTCTTATTTTGCTTTTGTATGATTTGCTTCCTTCTCCTAAACACCAAGAATAGGTGGAAATATTTGGAGAACTGAAGGATCTGGCTGAGTTCAGGATAATTAAGGTCCTTCTGTATCACTAGCTTGTGGATTATCCTATTTTCTATTGTCCCCCTTCACTAGTACAGATAAATAATCAAGAAGTGAATTCAAAAACAAAAATCACCTTCACTTATCAAGGACCCAAAGGCCACAGGAGAAACACACAGCTCCATTTCATCAACAAACTGAGTGAAATTACCACACTAACAGAAAACAGCCACGTTCCTAGTCACTGTCCATCTCTAAGATCCCCCTTGAAAACAAAGAAGTAATGTCTCCAAGACTCAAACTGCCCTGGTATACAGTCTTCAATCAAAAGTGTCAGAAAAATCAGAGCCACCTGATTGGACACCAAAAGGAGTTTAAATTATTTTATTACAGGGAAAAGATACAGACAGTAGACCACACACACACACATACACACACACATGCACACATATGTACACACATGCACACATTTGCACACACACACACAAATTAATGTTGCCCCCATATAGAGAAGTACCCACACACGCTTAACTAAGTTCCATTCCAACACCTGCTTGCCAATTGGACAAAAGACAACTTAGATTTGAATTATCCTATGCCATCACAGATAAAGGTCTCTATAAACTCCACATAGATGACCTTCTGCACCTGCTAAAACAATCCACTCTATATATCAACAAGTATACAACAGGCTCATTGTATTGTTCTCCAGAGATGAGGCTACTGGCAGCCAGTTGTCGCTAGTAAGTGGGTGTGGCTGGGAAGACAGATGTGGGACCAACAGGGACTTTCTACTCCAAGTAAGAGGAAACTTAGAGAGACAGCAGCTAAAACTGTTGTGACCTACAACCCATCATGCCTGTCTTTAACAATTATGATCAAAAATAGCCCCCTAGGTTAGTCCCATCATTGCAGTAAGCTAGACATCGTCTCTGACAGGAATAAGCTTTGTGAAGACTTAGTGGCAATTCCCAATATCAACCTCAAAAGTCAGGAGTATCCTCAAACATCACTAATTTGTCTTAACAAAAGACTAGATCAGTCATCCATGAATATAAGCTGTTTTTTGAAACTCCCTACTACTTTCCATTGATATCGCTTCTTAGAATAATGATATCCATACACTTCAGGAAACAGAACTCTCTTTTGTCTTAAATTTACCAAGCAGCCTTCCCCTTTCCAGGGAATTAGAAGTTGCTTTTCTCCCTTGTGAATTTTATAAATGCAACCACATTCCCAAGTCTTCATTTTCACAACCTGAAAAGGGATCATCACTTTAAGTCCTCTCTCACAACTTCTTGACTGGCCTCAGGCTTCCATAGCTGGGCTAGATGACTGGATTCCCACATGTCCCATTGGCCACATGGTGGTACTGACCAGCAGTAACCAGCAGTGCCAGGCTGGGCTGGTGTGTCATGTCCCATCCCCAATCCCTAGCACACTAGTTCATTGGAGGGACAAGGATAATGCCACAGACTTCGATCATATGAAAAAACTCAAAAGAGATTCATGAGTGGAGCTGGTAAGAAACCAGATTCCATGGCTGGGATCTACCTCACAGACTAGCAGTGTGCACTGGTTATCTACAATACTCTGCTTCTAAGTCTCCCTAATAGTTTTCTTGCTATGTTTTTGTTGTTGTTGTTGCTCTTTGACCAGTACAATCAATCACCCAGCAAGTACTTGTGGGTCTAACAAATGAAGAACAAGAGAAACAGGAGTTAATTTTATTGGGAAAAACATAACTAATATATGAAACAGCAAGGAATAAGATAAGACCAATAATCAAATGTTAAGATAGTGATTCAGACTCTAAGGACTATAAGCGGTCAGAGAAGAGCTCTCTTGGGAAGCTGGTGGCTGCTTGAAACTGCTCCCATAGCAGCTGTTAAGGAGGGCTTTAAGGAAGAGCTGTGCTTGGAAGAGCAGGAGGCACCCAAGGACTAGAGCCCTTGGTCCCATATAATATAAATAAACCTTTGCTTTAAGTCCTCACTGATATGGTCGACTATCTGTCTTCTTACATACTATGTACCTCTAGAGCACAGTAAATATGTAGAGCCACCCACAAGACTGGTTCAAGGTTCTCCTGATGACACGCAGAGTCTGCTGAAAGGGAAAAAGTTTCCTTGGACACTAAAAACATAATTTAAAACCAGCCTCCAGATTACTGCTATGTGAAGGTCAGATGAAAATGCATAACCCTGTTTGGGAAAATTAAACAAACAGGATCATTTTCAATCCTGAGGCCATGAGCCATCCTCTCACTGAGGTCCAAAGTCTCTATCCAGGCAAACCAGGTAAGTAGTTGCCAAATTTCACTAATAATAACAAATTTCATATTTCAATTATAACAAATATAACAAATTTCAAATATAACAAATAACAAATTTCAATTTTAATATCTTCCTGTTCAAGAACTTAGAACAATTTCCTGCTGCCTACTATAGTAAACCCCAAGTGCCACAGGCTAGTATTCTAAGACCCTCCATTAACTAGCCATATCTAATCATCATAATAAGGTTCTTGTCTTCTCATTGCTCAGTTCCAGAAGCATTCCCCTAATTATCCTGAATTCACTAGCTTCTCGCTGCTGCAAGAGGCATAAGGTGCCTCTTTTGTTCTTAAACACAATATTCTCTGAGGAGAAATATTTAGGAGGTCTCTTCTCTCCCTCAGTAAGCATCTCAACTGATGTCAGCATGCTGGGGTACATCCTTGTTCTTTGTGCTCACTTTCCTCAAAATAGAAGATCACTATACTCAATTAAGACTCATTCTGAAAAGACGAAAGATGCATTCATTGGAGACTGACAGTGTCACACTCATTACTACAAAAAGGTAGTAGAAGCTGAACTATACAGATAAATTCTGAATGACAGAACCATAAAGAACTGTTAAAGGAAAGCACACTGTTCAGGAGACATAATAACTCTTCTCTAAGAATATGCTTTATCAGGAAGTTGAACTTAGCTAAGTACTATAACAGATTGATATCAAAGAGACAACTATGCCTTTCTAAAACTGTCATTTGGACAAGTCACAGATAGAATCTTGGGCAAGATGAAGCACAAGACTGAACCCCACAGAGCAATTCTCCAGAGAATGCTCTCTTGGTGAGAGATCATAATAAAATCACTTTTTCCTCTTCCCAATCTCACCTAAGGAACTTCAGAAATCTGGACCTTATCACTATAAGCACAGATATTCTGCCACATCAGAGTTTGGCTTTGGTCTGCATAGCTCTATTTCTTCTCAAACCTGGTAACTTTGTGTTGTCAGATTGCCTTTTCTCTTCTATCTGTTTTCAGGGACATGGTGCTCCTTTCATCAGGATCACCCACAGAGTAACAAGGTAGGGAGCATGCATTGCTTAAGTTTTCTCTGAGCTGTCCTCATCCCGGCAGCAGGGACTAGGAGAGGCCACAGAGGTGATGATCTCTCATAACTCACAAAGCTTACTTTCTAGGTTCATCCTTAAAGATGGGCTTCCCTGTTCCTGCAAGGCTACCAGAATACCATGGCAGAATGCTGTCAGTTTTCCACAAAGATGTCTTTATTTTCTGCGAGCATGAGCTGAGGAGGCCCAAATAACCTAGATGCCACTAGGTAACAAACACTAGCTAGCAAGAACACAGAATATGCTGGTCTAGCATTTGGCACTATGTACAGCTTTAGTAATCTAAATATCTTCAGGATTCCATATTCATAAGTTAACAACGAGATGAAAGGTAATGTCATATAGAGGCACTGGCTGGGCAACCGATCTTGATAAACTAACTTTACTTCTGTAGGCCTGGTTTCCTCATCTGCAAAAGGATAGGGATAGTCTCTAAGGCCCCTTCTACTCTAGTATTCTATGATTCTATGAATCAAGACTTACATTTTAAGTGCATCCAATATATATTAATTTTGCAACATTTTTTGACCACCTATTCTATATAAGGCCTGGTGGAGGGTACTGTAGGGGCCACACAGACGTAGGAGATAGTCACTGACATTAAACAAGTTCAAAGTGTAATAACCATAGAATTCAGAAATAGAAGTGTCATACGATTATGTGTTAAATGCATGATATGTACAATTAGTCCCATGAATGCATAAATTACTAAAAAGGTTTCATGTACAAAGACTCAAAAAGGGACTTAAAATAGAGGTAGAATGTAGATAGGCTAGAAGTGGGACAATTACTAAGCAGTGATACAAAGCTTCTTTTAGTTCATTCAGTTCAATAACTCTGAACATCACAAGTACACGAGGGTCAGTCCAACAGGATTTGATAGCGCCTTGACACGATTTCCTCCGCATATAGCACAATGAGACATAAGCACCAATCATAGCAGCAAACAGCTTCAACTTCGGGGGTTAAGAGACACACAGTCATTCTTGCCACAACAGAAGTCTGGGAATCTTGACCCTACCAAAGATCTGATCACAAAGTTAAAAGAGGCAGCTAGGGAGCCATCTCCAGAAAACAGTGCACTTGGTCCTTTCTTTGGGAAGAAAGGACTGAGAAGTGTTCATGTGCTCAAAGCTGAAACTGGCAGACACTCACATTGCTTAAATACCTCACCCTTTCCTAATATAAGAATATATTAGGAAATTCTTTTTTTTTAAGCACTGTACAATTTGAACTCTGCTTTTAAATTCAAATATATTTATCATAGATACAATTATATTTAAATACATAAGTATATTTAAATACAGCTACCTAACAGTAATTTTCTATCTTCTCGTTTTCTCTTTGTGTATTTGACTCTACCAGATGGACACAAGAGTTATATAGAATTTCAGACTCTCTGAGTTGCAAAAGGCTTAATGATAACCTAGACCACTTTCCCATCCAGAGCAGGAATCCACTCTGTGACAGCAGCCCTGAAAGATGGACACCTGGCTTCTTTAGAAACACTTCCAACAATACAGAGTTAACTAACTCCTAGATGGACAACCTTTTTTCACTCTATGTATTTAATTTATTGTCTGTCCACTGAAAATTACAGGTCCCTCCTTTAAGAAGTCTAAATGTATAAAGGCAAAATCCAAAAATAAAAAGATATCTATTGACACTACTAACACTGCATGTTTTTCATCAAGGGGTACCCGTGCCTGACTAGATTTCCCAAGCCATCTGGCTGACCCATGGCTGTGCTACAGGCAACTATAAATCAACTTGTTACTAAGCAGAACTGCCATTACTAAAATGCAGGTTTAGGTTTAGATGTACCTCAAGATCTGGACTGTCTTCCCCAAGAAAAAAATGCAGCAGCCAAAGGAGGTGACACCTATGCTGCTGGACAATCTGAGGATGAAAATAGATAGCCCTTTTGCGGTTCAGACACCGTCACCTGCCTGAAGGCAGGGGGCTAGATCAACTGACTTCCTGAGGTCTCCTTAAATTCTAGTACTAACAAAGGAGCCTATGTTCTGCCCCCCCAGACCCTCTCCCCCACTGTGTGGTTGGTAGTAAATTACAGACTCCAAAGAAAAAGGTCAACCAGAAAGCAACTTCATTCTTCAGAGGCATGCTGGTTTCCTTTGTACAATCTGTCATTGGCTAGGCACTAGGCAGCCAGTATCTACAGTGTCTATGTGTCTGTATATCACACACACACACACACACACACACACACACACACACACACACACACACACACACACACACACACACACACACACACACACACACACACACACACACACACACACTCACTCACTCACTCACTCACAAACACTAATTCTACCATTCTCAGTAAAAAGGATTCATCACCAGGGCCCTCTCCCCTTTAGTCAAAGTTATACTTCTCAATTCCATTCTTCAGCTAATACATTTATATCCTTCTCCCCTTCCCTTTCTCCTTCCTAGCCCTACCCTCAAAAATATTTATTGCACAGACAGTTGTAACTCAAGACAGTTTACAAACAACCTCACCCATCATATCTTAGGACAAAGCATATGAAATAACTTGGCGGGGGTGGGGGGGAGTCATGGTGGTAGAAAACACAACCTGCCTCTGTCAAACAGTAACTTGGCCAGTTATAAGCTTCATCCCACAGGCAGTTTTCCTCAGAGGCCTCTTCGGGGACTAAGTGGAATAGATCCAAATCAGACTTTGTCTGGCTCTCAGATATGAAAAGGGCCAAATGCCAATAGCTCCAAATTTCAAGTTCCCTTGGCCAGTCAAACCAGAGGTTTCCTGGGCCCAGAATTACCAGTTTCCTCAGGGCCTGGAAACAAATCTCATTTCTATTTTGAATGGTTCCAATCACAAAAAGTTAACCCCAAGGTGGAGGGAGTGGGGAGCAAAAAGAGCTAGTAATTCGGCAGGGGATGGAGTAAAAAGAAAAGGAGGATGATAGACAGAAGAGTTCAGCTCTGCACTTCCAAAAAGAAGCAAGGCAAGAATAAAGTAAAGAAAACTTGGAGAGAAAGGTCAAGAGAGAAGGAAAATTTTTTTAAGTGTTGTGCATATGCCTGCCTGACTGCACATACTCACTTGTATCACGTACAAGTACACATACACACACTTGCAGAGCCATAAAACAGACTGGAAAGCAACTAAGAAACCATGATCAAACTGCCTAACTTCACCAAATACTTTACAAAGTTGGCAGCAGCAGCAGCAGCAGCAAAAGTGCCTTTAACAGAGAGCTCCTCTGACCTTAATTTCCTAGCCCTGTTATAAACTGGGTCCCCCTCCACTCCCTGCTGTTACTCAGGCCAGTTGCAACCATCAAGAAGACTGGCAAAACAGCCCAAAAAAATCACTCCTGATGCACTGGAAGAGCCTGAAGTTCACAGAGAAAGACAAAAATGAGCCCCAAGAGACCAAAGCTCATTTTAACTGCCCACAAAGGCTAGCCAAGGAGCCCGCTCCTCCCCGCCATGGTCATGCTACAACATGGGAGCTCTAGTTCCAGGGCATCCACATACATGAACTGCAGCAGGCTTAGGTCAAGTGTGGCTCAAAGTCTACACACACTTCTTGTCTCCTTAAGGTCTTCCTCATAATAATCCCAAACCAATTAGCATTTTCTCATCTCTAGAGTATACGGCATTCTCAGCACACCCAGCAGTCATGTCACAGTACCCTAGAATCCAGCTGGCCACCTCCCTAGAATGGTGGCCTACACAGATTTCAAATAGTGGCTCTAGTAGTGGCTATTACATCACAGAAAAAAATAACTCCAAGGCTGGTATCGAGCACATGCAAAATAGTTGTTTATGTTGAGTGATTCTGAATGAAAGAAAGAGCAACTCACTTAATAATTTAATAAGCACATATGTGCCATACACATAGCTAGTTTGTAGCACAGCTGAGGCTGTAACCAATCTGCAGGTCCCTAATTCAACTGGCTTTTCAATTTAACAGTGGCTGAGAGCTGTCCTAAAGAAACAGGACTCAGAATAACAGACTAGGTAAGTTTGGTGGGATGGAGATATGATCATGAGGGATGCCCCTGGGCTCAAGAGGAGTGTGGAAGAGGCAGTCTGTCACTAAGCACCTAAGGAGTTCACTGAAAAGCGAAGTTGAGTAATAAAAACAAATTCCTTTATTTCCCAAGTGTGCCAGGGGTAGCCCCAAATCAGTGCTATAAAATTGGTATCAGGTCTTGGTCTTTTTAGGCAGCACATACTTTAAGCATAAAACAATGAATTCAGTTGGCATGGTTTATAGACACTGCTCAAGAGGACAGTGACAACCAACCAAGGGCCATTCATAAACTTCCCAGAAAGAAGGTTCTTCCCCTAGACCCAGAGTGACCATTATCAGGCAACACTACTCAATGAAAACTCACTCGAAGGCGAAGAAGAGTGTACATGTCCCCAGGATGAGGAAGAGGGTCAAGTAGAAGATGCCCTTTTGCCGGGCCATCATGACACGGCCATCGCAGCAGAAGGTATTCCTGCCCGGGAGTTTCTCCCATTTCCGTGTCACCTTCTTTCTCACCACCATCACAGACATGATTGGAATTCCTGGTCCAAATGGGCTTTGTGATTACGAGCGGGAAGAAACAGAAGCTGAGCTCAGCTTTGAAATCACGTTGCCTGCTATTGCTGAGGCTGGGTCAAACATCATCAAAAGTCCAATTTCTAGTCCTAAGAAAAAGCACCAAAAACAAACAAACAAACAAACAAACAAAAACAAACAAAAAAACGAGGCAAGAATATGAAATGCAGTTCAGAAGGCAGAAGATAAGTACTGCCTGAAAGGTTGAGGGTGGGGAAGTGGGAAAAGTTTATTTCCAACCTGTGTTTGTCCTGTAAAAAATTAAAGGTTCTCAAAAAAAGAAGGGGGCTAGTATATTTTCTTAAATAAACCCCAGTGCTTCCAATATAATACTAATGATTTGTTCATCATAGAACTTTGGAGCTAGAAAGGTTTTTATAAGTGATATCTCCAATTACTTTGTTTTGGAAATGAGTCAAGTGAAGACCAAAAAGAGGAAATAACTTATCCAGGGTCACACAGCCACAAAGCTAAGCCAAGAAGACACATCTGCAGACTTTTGGTCCAGGGCACTTTCCAGTATCCTGCATTGTTCTATAATCATCATTAAGAGGACTAAAAATAATAGTAGAGTTTCTGTCCCTAAGGAGCCATTTCCTCCCCCTCCTCTGCTTTTCATCTTCTTTCTTCAATAAACCATTCAAATATGAATCACACCAGGGAACAAGTCACCCTCTGGCAGGCTAGGAGGTTCTGGACACTCTGGAGAGTACCCAGGTTCTATTTACTCAGAAAAAGATTTCCCCTATTCAAACTTTCAGTAACTTCCTGAGTCCAGGAAATGAATCAGTCTTGCTGGTCTGGTCCAACATTTATGGGAATCCTAATGAAACCGCATCACAAACCTGTAGGTGGAAGGCTGACTTAAGCAGAACAGAGTTGGAGGGTGGGGGCAAGGGAGGGGAGAATGGTAGCAGTTAAAAACAGTCATACAGGTGCTTTCTGGGACATTTTATAACTACCATCTCTGCTTAACATCCTGAATCCCCAGGCCCAGCCTTTCTCAGCCTCTGCCACCCTTCTAGTCCTTTCAGGTGTGGTGCTGTGGCCTCTATTTAGTAACACCACATACCCCACGCTGGCAAAACTGAGGTGGAAGCCTGCAGCTGGACTGACTGATGAGAAACAACCAATTGGAAATCATTCCCTGGCTGGAGAGGGCAAGGGTTCAAATAGAGACCAGGCAGATGAGCCAGGCAATGAAAAGGTAGAGGGCTTGGGAAAGGGGAGGGGACACCAAGGTGCAAAGAACACTTCCTTTGTGTAAAACTAACCTGGAAAACAATCTTCTGATAACCAGGCCTAGCAGACGAAGAGACCAGGAAGGGGAGCCAGGCCTGGGAGAACAAAGATCAAAATCTGTCCAGAACCAGCGACCGGCCCACCCCTTGGGGGCCGAGGCCTGAATCCGGGGCAGGCTGCGGGCGCGGCCTTGGAAGGCCCGCCCTGCCTTCGCCCGCCACTCAGCAGACCACCGCCCCAGGCAGGTTAGAACGCGCGCCACCTCCACGCTGGTACACACTCACGCACGCCCCGCCACGTGTAGTCACCCCTGGCCAGGGGCTCGGCAGCTGGCGAGTTGAGCAGAGGAGTGTCAAAGTCCGTGCGCCTGGGAGCAGCGGAGGGGTTGGCAGCCCACCATGCGGCCGAGCCCAGAGGACCCCCACCCCCGCTCCTTGTTACCTGAACCCTGGAGCCTGAACTCGGCTGGGCACTGAGGGCAGGAAGTGGACTGTCCCAGGGGACTGCGTCAGCCGCCCCAAGTGGCAGCCACTTCTCCCCAGCCCGAAGGTTGCCTCCTCCTGAAAAGGGGCCCCTATGGCTGGGGCCCTAAAACAGCTGTGGCAACCGCCCACCGCTGGCAGAATGGAACGCTCCTCACGTCACCTGGTCGTTCCAGTAGTTGCTCGCCCTTCATTGGCTAATCAGCCTCGGTGTCTCCGCCCCTACCAACCCCTGCCCCGAACTACCATTTGCTACTCTAAACGCCACTCAGTGGTGCCGCTGCTCAACTCCCCCACCTATCTCTCGTCTTCATGCCCACCTGCCAAGCCACTACCAGCTTCCCTTTGGGGTCCCAGCGCCAGTACGTGAGGTGTCGTCTTCTATTAATATAGTTACACGGAGGTGGAGGTGAAGGGTAGTGCCAATGGGACATGGGGGGATGGGGAACCAGGCTCCGCCCCCACCCACCTCCGCACACACACATGGTGAGACGCTGAAGAAGCACTGGCTCACAGATCTGGATGGTCACTCTAAACTAGGTCCGCCCTGGGCCTCTCCTGTCTTGCACGAAAACAACTGCGACTAGGGATTTTACTCTTTAGGGATATAAAAACAAGTCCTCTGCTTCCCAAGTCCTATTCACTAGTTAAAAATCCCATCTCTGTCCCAGTCACCTGGCCTGAATCTAGGAACAAAATAAACTAATATAAAAAGGAACTTGAAAGGGATAACTGTACCCAAGAACACAATAATTTTGCAGTACCGAGAACAGATCATTGACATTGAGGAAGTTAAAGAAACTCTAAATTCTTCCAGGTAAGTAACGAAGTGAAGATTGTCAAAAAGGTTGAAAATTCCTATTAAGGGGAGTGCGGAGCGATGATCCAAGGCAGAATCCCCACCCACCAACCACACTGATACTTTCCTTTAGTCAACTCCTTCCCCCCACCCTGCCCTCGCAGTTACTTCCACAATGAGCCACTGCTACTGATCCCAGTGAGTCGCATCCTTTAGAAGTTCAAGATCGGAGTGGGAAAAACATTTTAAAACCACAGTATTAATATTACATGGCGAACTTTAAGAGGCGCTGGGTCTATTTCCACCAGTATGGCTCTGGGCTTTCAATTATAAGGGGAAATATGAGAAAGGGCTGAAGGTGGTGGCTTCTCCTTCCCTTTCACACTGTTGGGGAGAACACCTAGGTTGCCAGCTATTTTCCAGAGTTTGAATAAAATTTATCTAGGCTGTATTATTTGCAATTAATACAGAAGAGACTGCCAAAAGTCTTCCCAAGGCAGTTTGTTGTATTAGTTGAAGGACCACGTACATGGTCAAGAACTATTTCTCCTTTACACTATTCAGGTCCCACATGATATGAAGCAAAAAGCTACCTAATGATAATTACATTTGACATTTTCATGATACCCTTCAATCAAAAATGTAAAAGAATTAAAAAATCACCAGGTAATTTTCCTATGAGAGAAATGTGTTATAATTAATTTGTAGGGGAAAGTATGTTTTTATAAAGCTTTTATTGTTCCTTAATACTCATCTTGATTATAAGCATCAGTTTATTCCTGATAAACCTGTGATCAAAATCATTATCTCCAATTTTCCCCTGTTTGAGTCCTGGGGTGCTGGTGTTATACGTACCTGGTATGGAAGGGAGAGGAACTTCCCACAGCCCCATCAGACCCTTGGATTCCCAAGCCTATGTACACTAGATGCCTTCAGGAATAGCATGGTCACCCCAGATGCCAGCCTCCTGACTGTGAAGCAGTCAAAAGTAAACCTCCACAGCACCCAAACATACTTTGTCTATATCTCAGGTGCAGGTGAAGCCTAAAGAGTCCAGTAATCAATGTGTCATGGCAACACATTCCTAAGCTCTGCTCCTCCCTGCTCTGGGTCACATTCCCTCTGGAATTAAGTGGCTGTGTAGGTCAGGCTTGTTTTAATACAACCTGTTATTATTTGTGTTCACCACTAAAATAAAAACAAAGAAAATTTATATAGACAAACATTCCATAGCATTTCCTTCTATGTAATGACATCATTTTATATAATCCGCAAAATCTTAATACGCACACAACTAAGCTGTAACTATAACGTGGGATTGTTCGTTCTATTTTCTGTTCTTTTCTCTTTTCAATAAACCTCTCAGACTTTATTTATCCAAATTGGTATTGGTTCCTTTGAAGGGGAGTTACAGTAACGTCTTGAGCACTAGAAACACCACTGGAATAAATGTATAGGCTTCCATTGTGTAATAGCATATTTAAAAATACCTGTCTCCATATTTACGGTTCCTGTGTGAGTGTGTGTTTGTTGAGGTGCCAGTGTAAAGTGCTGTTTGAATGGCCTCAGATCCTGAGTGCTGCCACTGGGTTGCAGCTTGCCAGTTAGTGTTGCTCCAGATATCTCTTCTGCAAAAACCCAGAGTTCCATTCAGTACTACATGCAAGAACAGACCCACAAACTCAGTCCCCATCCTGCATTCAAGCTCATGATGGCTTTTTCCCCCCAATTTACTCTAGCTTCAACCCTACCATGTCCCCTTGCCTTATACCCCACACAAGGTTCTCATCTAACCTCACCTGACCTGTACTTCTCTCCCTACTTCTGGCTATAAATAAATACATATTTGCAGAATGAATTGGTGAGCAAAAGGAAGGACCATGGGACACCCTGCCCACATATGACCAACTAGTATTCTCAAGCAACATATGTTTCCCAGAGGCCTGGGCTAGATAATATGAATAGCAAAAAGCACAAAAGCTTCATAGCCAGAGAGACCTAGGTTCAAAATCTGGCTCTACTACTAACTAGTTTGTATAAACTTTGGCATGTAATTGATCCTTTCCGAGCTTATTTCCTCATTGGTAAAATAGAGCTAATACCTACTTCATAGAGTTATAAAGGGTATTATGCATGCTAAATATCTGGAATAGCAGAGAAACACAATCGATGCAGTATGTTAGGATGACATCTATATGTAACTGTCCTCTCCCACATCCCTCCTTTATCTACACTGACAACTGGGAGTAGAGAGGTAAGAAAGAGACTCATTCTTCACTTTTCTGAACCTATGTCATCCATGTGCCACCATGTTTTCATAGCCTCTAAATTTGTCACTGAAGTTAATCCTTATCTGACTGACCACTTGGTTTCCCAATCCCAGAAGCACCCCACTCCCTCACTGGGAAAAGCTTGGGCAGTAATCTTGTTCTGGTCAAATGGTTGTTCTCTTGCACCATCGTCTCAAATAAATCCTCAACCTTCTTTGCCACATTATCTATTTCAACAGGAGAGAAATAAATGGGATCTCTTTCATTCCACACCTCCTATGTTCACAGCACTGTGCTGGGACTGTTGACTCCTGTCAGAGACTGAGAAGTACCTTTAAGATGCTACTGTGTGAAAGCCAAATACACAGAAAGCCCAATAAAAATTGCCTGGGGTGGCAGAGAAGATGATATCACAATGTAACTGAGCTGTTCAAACTAAGCCTCTATGTCTGCCTCTGATGCCTATCTGCCTCTGCTGGTTCTCAATTTTGTTTCATCTCTAGATTAGATTTCTCACTCCACTTGGAATGGTTTTAGGTGCTGCGCTTGAGCCCTCAACACTAGCGCTAAGACTATCTTCTAACTAGAGTCATCATAACCTTATTGAGGACTTCCTCTGAGCCAAGGATTGTGCCAGGTGCTTTATATAGATTTGGTTCCTAGATTATGGTTTAAACTTAACATACAAGTGAAAGCATCTGATACTGACCCAGCAGAGCCCTGACCTCTGACTGTGCTCAGCCCACTCATTCCAGGAGCTGACCTCAAGGGATTGTGTTACCCAAAAATATAAACTGGTTTATCAGTGAATCATTAAGTATATATTGAGCACCCACAATTTGTTCAGCCTGTACTAGGCACTATGGGAAATACCAAAGAAGTATTTGACATGATCTCAACCTCCAAAGAACTTAAAATATTTTAAGGGAGCAAAGATCAGCTCATGTTAAGTCATTAAAGATAAATAAAAAACATTGCAGAGTCCAGGTCTCAACTATGCACAATGGACTCGCCAACATTTTAAGAAGAGCCTGCCTCAAAAGGCTGCCTCAAAAGGTTGTACCCTCTCAAATACTGTTGGTAGAAGAATAAATTGGTAAAATCTTTCAGTAGGGCTATTCGGTAGTATCTCTTAATGTTTTTACATTACATAACCATTGATCCAACCATCCTACTTCTATCTAGAAATACTACCACAAATGTTCAGAGACATGTTCAAGATGTTCACTATAACATTGCTTGCCATTGCAAAAGTTATTAAACAAAAAGTTCTTTAATTATTGCATATTCATATAGTGCAGCACTATGCAGCTATTAAAAGCAATGAGATATAAGGAGGGGTTAGGTAGATGGTTAAAAGGGGTCAAATATAGAGGGTAAGGGAAGATGAAGTTGGTAAATGGGATCAAATATATGGTAGCTGAAGGAAACTGGACTTTGGGTGGTAAACACACAATAGAATATACAGATGTCAAATTATAATGTACAAAATTATATAATTGTATTAACCAATGTTACCCCAATAAACTTTAAAAAAGTCAAAAATAGTAATGAAATATAGTATATATACACAAAAGAGCAGATCTTCGCTTTTCTGCCTGCATGCATATTTTAATAAAAATTTACATTAAAAGTTAAGTATGTGCTGACATGCAAATATAACTCAATATATATTAAGCAAAAAGTAAATTATCTAAACATTTATAAAATACAACTTTATAAAATTTTAAAAAACTAATTTTGAGTGTGATCTTATATGTGCATATTTTAAAAGTCTGGAAGGATATTTACCAAACAATGATTATCTTTGGGGAGTGGGGGTGATGAACAAACTTTTGAGTTTTATTTTATACACTTACTTAATGTCTATATTAGTTACAAGGAGAATTATTAATTTTAGGACTTAAAAATAAAGATTTAAAAAATTATTATTATAAAGATTTAAAAAATTATTATAGCTCTATACCTCTTGCTCAATATGGTAGAATGACCACATGCATTTATCTCCTTTCCTTCCTAAAGATACCATTAGAATTATAGTAAAGGGATTTAAAAAGTATAAGCCAACAACAAAGGAGAGAACCCTGACATCAGATGACAATATATTTCACTAATGTTGGGAAG